CAATTTTCTCGTATCTACTCATTTTTTTATTGTTTGTGGTTTCTTTATGGAGGATTTATTAGAAAATCTTCTTTTAAACACATATCCCAATTAGTGTATAACATGTTTTTATATTTCAATAAATTTTATTATTTAAACATTTGATCCATTAAATCTTAATTTTCATATTTAAAATATTTTATAAATAATTTTACCTTTACAAATATTTTTTGAACCTTTTAGCAATGTGGTGTGCACTATTTTGGACTGTTTTACACTTTTTATATATTAAATTTTAAAAACTCATAATTTTTATTGTGCATTTTTTTTTATATGAAATTTATATTTTTGAAACTTAGTTAACGAGATCTATCAAATAACATATCACTTTAATATATAATTTTATAAAATAAAAATAAATGAATAAATTTAACAGTGTGAATGTTCTATATTGTAAACATTCCCATTTATTTAATGAGAATGTTCACAACATAGAATATTCACACTGTCAATATGAACATTAATGTTCATCACCCTATTATTATTAGAAGTATTTTAGTAATTATGTCATTCATAGACTTATTAGAACATAAAAATAATAAGACCAATAATACATCTCCTTTATGTTGGAGCTTTAATTTAGTTCTAATGATATGATAGGAAAAAAAATCTAAAACTTCACATCAATGGGTGAGACCCACCTCTTAAAACTCCTTTAGAGCTCTCAAACATTTTTGAAATAATAATTTGGCCAGTGGAACATGAGTAGTTGAAAATAGATTTATGAATAAATATATTTTTATTATTTTTGTTAATTCTTTTTTTAGTGAATTTAAATAATAAAAAAAATCACAAAAACTTGAAGCTTTTGAATTCTACTCGAAAGGCCAAAAAATTAAAAATTTGAAAAAAGTTCAAAAAATGATAAAATAAAGAATAATGTCTTGTAGCTCGAATTGCATTTGGCTTGAATGGCTTTACGGTCCAAAACGATGTCGTTTTAGGCATTTTTTTTTCTTTTTCTTTTTCGCCTCTGTTTTGTCTGTGAAACAGACAAAAGAAGAAGAAGAAAATGAGGAGAGAAAGAGAGAAAAAGATGAGAAAAGAAGAAGAAAGAGAAAATGAGAGAACAAGGAGGAAGGGCAGATCTAAGACAGATTTGTGTGTATACACACAGAGGAGACAGTGATCAGTGCCGGTGAGTGTCTCTCTCTCTCTCTCTACCGGTGGGTGGCTCTCTCTCTCATATATATATATATATATATATATAGATCGGTGTATACACAGGTTGATTGTACCGTATGAGGGTTTGTGGGGTTTTGGGTATACTTTGTGAGGATTTGTGTATGCACAAATTCATTGACCATTCTTGTTTCATGGGTTATGCTGAAACTCAACCAATGGTTCATGGGTTATTGATTGCTTGAAATATTTTAGGTTTGTTCATTGATTGTTTGAAATTGTGGGTGTTGAAATATGCTGTGGGTGTTGAAATGTGTTGAAACTCAACCAATGGTTCATGGGTTGTTCATTGATTGCTTGAAATTTTCTAAGTTTGTTCATTGATTGCTTGAAATTGTGGGTGTTGAAATATACTTCTTCTCTCTTTCTTCTCTCTTGCTCCCTCATCTCTCTTCCTTTTGCCTTCCTGTTTTAGACAGAAAATAGAGAGAGAGAAAAAATATGTCCAAAACAATGTCGTTTTAGGTAGTCGAGCCATTCGGACCAAATGAATTTCAAGCTACGTAGCAGCATTGTAAAATAAAATAGCTGACTTATTTAGGTTTCTTTTTTTATTTTTTATAGATACATTTATACAAGACAGATCGAAAAGTTAAAAAAAATTGACTTAATTTAAAAAAAAAAAAACACTAAAGACATTTTAAAAAATAAAAATAGAATGTGACTTTTTAAATGTCTACCAAACTCCAAATCAAAAGATCATACCGCATTGACTAAATTGAAAGATCATAAATAATCCAATTCCAGTAATAAAGAATTTTTAGAACCATCCAAGGACATTTTTTTGGGGTAAAAACAATTCTTAAAATTAAATATATATATATATATATATTAGTATTTATTTTTGTCAAATGAATTTCACTTTTTAATTGTTTTTTTTTCAAAAAATAGATTTTCAAAATCAAACCAAGCATAAGGCAACACAAAGATTGTACAAGAAGATTACACAAATCCAAAATCGAGCAACATGCCTTGAGAGAAACGTTGCAGACTTGAAGTTGATTGCAAGTGAGCCGCTGTGTTTGGTTAGAAATTTAGAAATAAAAAGAAAAAAAGATAGATGAAATATAAATAAAATATATATACATTTTATTTACTTTTGCATTCCATTTACTTTTACATTCCTTTTTTTTTTTTCATTTCCGAATCCCTTCTCAAATTTTCCAATCAAATATAGCATTAGAGTTCGTTTGGACTTTTGGTTATTTTAACCTGGTGCTAAAAAGTCTCGTTTGGGATAAATTTTTTGAATTTTTTGACTTTTGTGAGAGAAAATATAAAATGATTAGGAGTTAAATATGACATTTTATCCTATTTAATTAAATAGTCAATTTTATCTTATATAATTATTTTAGCCTAAACTTACTTTCCAAACGGAGCTTAACAAATCTACACGCACAATAACAATTTATGAGAAGGAACACATAGCTATAACAACTAGTTTTTGGTTTGCTTGGAAGTAAAAAAATTCACTATTTGTTTTTTGGCTTATTTAAATCCTATCAACTCTATTTTTTTTTTCACATATTTTTATAATAAACAAAAAAATAAAAAAATAAACCTTATCAAACCAAGTACTCCCTTTGTCTCAAAATATTAGTCCCTTATTCTATTTTTCATTATCTCAAAATATTAATCTCTTTTCAAAAATCAAGTACAAAAACAATATAAATTTCCTATTTTGCCTTTCTTTTAAATTCATTAATAACATAAAAAGTACAATTATGACATTGATATTCCCTAAAAAATATACAATCAAAGGTAATTTTGAAAAATTAATTTTAGGTGAATTATACTAACAATTCTTATAGTTTAGGACTCGTGTCACTTTGGTCCCTGATTTTTCAATTGTGATACATTTAACATTGAATTTTGAATATTATTCCAAATAAGGACAATTGAAGATATTATTGCTCAATTTCAAAGGTAAAATCGTCAATTTAAGAAAATATAAACTAATTTGACAAAAATAAACATTAAAAAAATATTTTTGAATTTTTAAAAATAATTTCTATCCACCAAAGATAAAATTATGTAAAATTAATAAATCTTTTAGACATTTATTTTGTTTTTTTTACCAAATTAATTTTTATTATGTGTTTGAATGATAATCGTGTAATTGGTGGTTGTTAGGTTTTTAATATGTAATCAATATATTAAGTATATAAAATGTTTTTAGTTTTGAATTTTTTGATTTAATGAATTAGTTTAATAATGATATCAAAGTTGTTGCTATCTTTGACTTTTAGAAAAAAAAAGAAACTAATTTAATAAAAATAAAAACAATCACACATTACATGATTATCATTTAAACACATAATAAAAATTAATTTGGTTAAATAAATAAATAAATGTCTAAAAAATTTATCAATTTTATATAATTTTATCTTTAGTAGGTTGAGATAATTTTTCAAAATTCAAAAATATTTTTTTGACATTTATTTTTATTAAATTAGTTTATATTTTATCAAATTGATAACTTTGCCCTTGAAATTGAGCAATGGTATCTTCAATTGTCCTTATTTGGAACAAGATTCAAAATTCAGGATTAAATGTGGCATAATTAAAAAGTCAAGGATCAAAGTGACATAAGATCCAAACTATAGGAACCATTAGTGTAATTTTCCTATTAATTTTTTTGATGTGCAATAATTGTACTATAAAAAAAAATTAAATTCTCCAAAATAAACCATTATTTTGAATCAAAGGGAGTAAGCATTATCAACTAGGGCTGCAAACGAGCCGAGCCAAGCCGAACTTTAGTATGTTTGGGCTTGTTTATTAAGATTTTAACGAGCTTGAGCTGAATAAAAAATTAACGAACCGAGCTCGAGCCTAGTTGACTTAAACTCGACTCGAGCTCAAGCCTGTTCACGAGCCTTAACGAGCCAAAAAAATTATAAATTCATACCTACATGTGAGACTAAAGTTACAATTAAAACTTTGATTATACAATATATATAAACATACTAAAAAAAGTCCATATTTTACTAAAATAATAATATCTACTATCACTATTATGTAAATGTACTATTTATAGTTAACTATTATTTACATTTATATTTTTTAAATACATAAATAGCATATTTCTCTTATTTTTTATACATATTTTTATATTATTTAATATATAAATAATAAATATTAAACGAGTCAGCTAACGAGCCGAGCTTACGAATGTTTGGGATTGTTTATTAAAAATTTAACGAGCTCGAGCTCGAACGCAAAAAAAATTTAACGAATCGAGTTCGAACGAGCTCTTATCGAGCCGAGCTCGAGCCTGTTCATGAACGGCTCTGGTCATTTGCAGCCCTATTATCAACCAAAGGAAAATGAGTGAGAGCACTAATTAGTGCTACCACTAATGATGTGACAATAGACCCCACCATGAATGATTTAATGTTTTGGCCAAAACGGGCTTTTCTTTGTTACAAAATGGAAACAATATGTTTAATGCCAACATAAGTGTAAGTTTTGTTGCATCAAGAACAAGCTCCCAGAAGGCGCACACAATGCAAGATTTGTTTACTAAAATGTCCCTTTTTTGATTTTTCAAACTTTTAAAAATTTATCACTTTTGATGTAGATATGTATTTATTTATTTTTTTAATAAAATTAATATTTTTAAAATTCCCTCAATGAAACAAATTATGCAAAATCTATACCAGCTATGAAATTCTTTAAAAAAAAAAAAGAACAAAGTGAAATTTCACTGTCAAAGTTAATGTTAATAGAGAATAATATTTTCAACATTTAAACTGTGAAATTCTCACAACCACAACTAATCACCACGCACTATCACCAAATATTTAAGGAGAAATTTATCACAACAATGTAAGTACGTTTACATAGTAAAATTTCACAGTCTAACGTTTAAACAATGAAATTCCACCAACGCCATCAACACCCTCAGAAATATCAAAAAAATAAAATGGTACACTTACGGAGTAAAATTTTATTGCCCGAATTAAACTAACGAAACAACTTCTATGTTTGAGATCCCAATGCATGTATGTATATGTACGAAAATGTACCCATGTTTACCCAGATGACACCGCACTACCATTTTCCAACTCCAATCCTTCATCAAAACCGACAGCATCAGCCAAGCCAAATGAGCTGTAAAACATACGATTATCAAATGAAGTAAAAGAAGGAATACATATAATACTACAAGGAACACATATACCGATTGCTAGATAAATAACATTGAGAATGATTCCTTTTCAATCTGGGAGATCCTTTCAATGACCTTTTATATATATATATATATATATATAAACAAAATTTTATTAAAAATAAATGAAATAGAAGTACACAAAAAATAAAAGAGGACAATAAGAACGAAAATAAAGCAAAATTATGATTGACAAACAAACTTCAAAATCTCTAGCTGTCAAAAACAAAGGAATCCCCTAAAATGAGACTGCATTGAAGACCTAAAAAAGCAAAAAAATTATAATAAACCATTCTTAATTCCAAACTTACTTCCATTTATGACCTTATCGATCACCGTTTCTATATGCACTACTCACTCTATAAATGTAGGATGGCAGTGACGGTGGATATAGATTTTAGGGAAAATTACAACATCTAATAATTGTTCAAATTACAATTAATTGGCCATTAAATGACTCCAGCCTTCCTCAATATTTGACTTGTATTTCACCGCACCCCTCACTGTTAGGGATCCATTATACTTGAACAGAATATGATGTCATCAATTTATACATTAAATTTATTATTAATTAGCAATTTCTGATGAAATGAAAAGTTATTGATTTGAACTTTCACATGAAATGCTTTTAATGTACTAGGTACAAAGGATCGAGGGAAGGATGGACTATTTGATTAATACTGAACCCCCTGTCCCTGTCCCTGTCCCTGTCCCCTAATTTTCGGTGACATTCAGCTTTCAATTTCATAGCATCAGATGTTAAAACTCATAATTCCGTTGTCCAACTCAGAGGGTTACAGAAAATAATATGTCACTACCTCGTTAAATAAAGAGTCCGTTGTCTAGTCATGTCACAAGAATTCATCATTATAATTTGATTACGATATAAGCAGTATGACATATTAAAGTGCTCACAGTTATATAATTTGACAGAAGATAATATGAAGTCCACCTATGGCACAGACTTCAGTATTTTTGATTATCTCTTTCCTCTTTTAGCATTTTGACCACAGCATACACAGTAAAGCGTTGTCAATACAACTTTCACTAAAAATTAAATTACCTTCTAGAAAATAATAAACAATGTTGAATCTATTTCATCAAAAACACATCATGGCGTAATTATTTATTCCCATTACCCCCCAGAACATTTAATGCACAACTGCATGATGGTTCCCCAAAGTTACAATCTTTGTTACTCCCTATAATTACATATTCCTTTCATAATAATTTCTGTTTTGTAAATACCAAGACTCATGCAGACTGCTTTCCTAGATTCCCCTCGAATGAAGAGGTCAAATTTGTCTTTCAATAAAATATATGTGCTCCTTCAAGTTGAAGTATGGAAATGTTAAAGAATTTTTTAAGAATCAATTAGCAATTTCATTGAGAATAAGAACACCTAAGAAAGGGAGGAAGAAAAAAATAATAATTTTACTCGAAGATCAAAATGATTCAATTTTGGACATCATGCAGCTACAATATATGTTCGAAAGAAATAGGTAAAGATGTTACATGCCTGCCCATTTGCTTGTTAATCCAGTTAAGCAAGCGATCAGCTGTCCGTCGATCATCAATGGCAAGTATCTCACTTTTGTCTTGTCTAGGTTTCCAATCACCAGCAACAAATTTAGAAGAAGGGCCCCATAATAGCATAGGATAATGAACCACAGAGAACCTTTCACAAAGTTCCTTATTTACCTGTGATGCCAATAATTGAAGAGAAGAGAGAGTAATTACTATGCCATATATGTTGAAAAAAGGGACTGGATTACAAAGTATGACAAAATTAGAGAATAGAAATACAACAAAAGGAAAGGGTATAGTGTATTCACTACAACAAATTAAGATTTTAGAGACAACTTTAGGGACAAAATCACTTTTTAGGGACGAAATATTTTTGTTGTCAAAAATGTCATTTGTATGTTTAGCGATGACATATAGTGATGACTTATCCTTTTGGGACCAAAATTTGTCTAAAAAAGTAAACTTTTTGGGACCAAATTATTGTCCTAAAAGAGCACTTTTAGTGACATTTTCAAAATTTTGTCACTATAGTCCTTTTTTTAACTTTTCCAGTCGACCTTTCAGAAAATATTCTTGTGACGAAAGGAATTGGTCCCCAAATGTTTTTTGCAATAAAATTTTCACTTTTGGGGATAAAAAAGTTTAGTCTCTAAAACTCATATTCGTTGTAGTGATTATTATTATTTATATGTGCAAGTAATAAAATTCCATTAAAGAGAAAAGGGAAGACCCCTGTTCAAAAAGGAGAAGAGGTCAAACCCTATTTGCCTCAAAAAACCAACAAAGCCAGCCAAAACACAGGGCAAGCATAAGTGTCTTTACAAAACTAAAGAATACACAAAAATCAATGAGGTTGTCCAAAGCAAACATGCCTCTCCCAAAAAACCAACCATACAAAATAGCCAAAAAAGCACTCTTCAACTTGTGCACAGTTTCCTCTACACCCTCGAAGGTCCTCTTCCTATGCTCTCTCCAAATAAGCCACATCACGCAAAGTGGCGCAAGGAGCCAAGCCTTGCTTTACACTTCCCCACTCTACTGCCCCACCACCCAAACATGACACTCACAAAGAATGAGCAAATGAGAGAGAGACTCCACATTCCTTCCGCACATAAAACACCAATATAATAGACTGGCTCAGAAGATTAAAAAGTAGAATGTAAGCTTGTACTAAGCCTAGTCAGGAGTCATGCCCATGGATATTCAACTCAGGATCAGCACATTTTTTCCATGCAATGGTATTTAAAATGCTTATGCTTAGTGCTTATTTTATTAAAGAATGCTCAAGATATTTGTTTCTTAGGTGACAATAAAAAACAAGGAATATCATCAAGGAAAGAAAAAAGATACAAATGCATAGAAGATGAGAAACCATCAAACCTCCACAACCACTTCCCAAACAAAGCTTGTATAAAGAGAGTTAGCCTACGGATACCCAAACCCATTTCCCTAATTGAAGAAAATATCGCATCCCAATCTATGACGTGGTATTTAAACTCTCCCTAAATCTCTCCCAAAAGGAAATCACATTGCATTTTCACCAAACGCTTCACCACCAAGCTGGAATAGTTAACAAAGACATGAAATAGGTGGGAAGGCTAGACAAAGTGCGTTTAATGAAAGTTAAAGGGGGAAAATATAAACTGGTCGAATCCAAGCCTTGGGCTAGCCCAATTCATTAAACCCAAGTCCAAGTGGGTCAAATACACATGTGGGCAAGCCAGTTAAGCCCAATTCCATGATCAACAGTCCGCCCAAATCTTCAAGCACTTGGGCCTAACTCGTAATGGAAAGGTCAGTCCAGCCATGAAGCTGGGCTGGGCCGAGCTGCAGAACTCAATTTTTACATTGAATTGATGGGCCAAACCCATCACCAAAAACCAAAGTGGGCCGAGCCCACACAAATATATCTAAATGGACCAGCCCGTCTCTATAAATAGTCTCACAAAGGGCGGAACCGAGGCACAACGGTATCGAGCTGAGGGAACCTCTCAGAGAAATGTGGAAGATGTGAATGCACACATGTGCAGGCTGCCGCCTCAGCTGGTCCCCTCCCCCTATAATCACAGAAATGGTTGATTAGGGGAATGTGGTCTGTTATCAGCATGGTAACAACGAGTATATGCATCCAATGTCAACTACCAGATGGTCCTCTACCTTGAGCAATGCTAAAAGAAGCTTGGCAACACCAAAGCTTCATGAAACCATCTTGGACAACAAGTAAGGAGTTTTATATAAACCACAAGGACTTCACATTGAAGGTAACTAAGTTGGGTTGTAACATACTCACTTAAACACAACTCTCTACACTTATAGTGCATATTCCATTTTCTTCGATCACTTACTCCCACGCCGGAGGGGTCATCCGGGCAACTCAAATGGTGTTCATTGTTGTAGGGTCTCAGTTCCTACATAGTCCAATTAGGTGCGGAACTCCGGTCCACAATCATCTAGTGCGGCATTCGGTACGCACAATTGGTGCAGTGAACGTGGACTTCATCCCCGAGTTCTGCATCTGATTCCGGAAATGGGAATTAAGGATATTCCACCCTTGGCGTTAACCCCCCAAACGAAGAAGACGAAGGATAAGGGCTTGGCATTGCCGGCAGCTTTGGAGGAGCAGACCGAAAACAACAACCGGACTCTGAAATCTGTTGAGCATCAACAGCCCTTCCCTGAAGTTTTTTCCCATCATTTTCTGTTGGAGAAGGACTATAGGGATTGTATCATCGATTCCATGGGAATGGAGATACAAGAACTAAAAGCGCAGCTCAAAAGGATGATGGGTGACCTAACGGAGAAGAGGACCGACGCAGAACCCTCTTGTCTGCACCGGGGGAGCCCATCCCTGGAACCACCAGTGAAAAAGGTCCCCAGAAACGAATCTAGGTGGCAAAATCAACCAATCCCGGTGTAAAGTGAAGCAGCGAGCAGCCACACTCGTGGTTCACGCCGGAGAAGAGCTAAGAGGCAGAAAACGGCCAGCTAATAAACAGAGTATCCTCCTCAGGATCTCCGTACTTGGTTGGTCGGGAATAGACAAAATGAACAACGACGAGAGCATCAGGCTCAACACCTTGATCGTACTATCCATCAGAGAGAGCACCGAGCACTGGATCAGCTCGTCTCCTCTCATTTTCTCCTCGGAAATCGAAGCTATGAGACCCCCAAAGAAGTTCACTCCACCAAAATTCATGTCATACGATGGAAAATCGGACCCACTAACACATATCAGCCACTATAGGCAGATGGTGTCCTTGTGGAGCCGAGACGAGGCACTGAAGTGCAAAGTCTTTCCATCCAGCCTGGGAGAATCCGTACTCCGATAGTTCGATTGTCTCTTCGCCGGATTGATTTACAATTGGAAGCAGGTTTTTGAAGAGTTCTTAGCTAGATTCGTTTCCAACACAAAAATCCCGAAAGAGCCGGACACCTTGTTCAGCCTCTGAAAGAAACAAGAGGAAACGCTGCGTAATTATGCTAGAAGGTATTGGGAAGAGTATAATGATTTGGAGGAAAATGTTTGTAGTGAACAGATGGCTATAATGTCTTTTAAACACAGTCTACGTCCGGAGAGCAAGTTGAGACAATCACTTACCAAACGCCTAGCCACAGCACTGAAAGACTTACGCACCCGGATTTAGCAGTACGCTCGCCTCGAAGATGATCAAATTCCTATCGAGGTGGTATCGACTGAACAGGCGACTGGGGGAAACAAAAGAAGAGCGAACTGGGGGGAACCCCGAGGACTCACAGTAAATGAAGTAGACAAGTCTAAATCCCATGAAGCAGTTGTTACAGTCTTTAAGGAACCTATCTATCGTATTATGGAAAAAATCAAGAGAGAGTCGTTCTTTACTTAGCCGCCAAAAATGCTAGGAGACCCAACTCGGCACAACCAAAAGCTTAGATGCACCTATCATCAAGACAGGAGGCATATGACTCAGAATTACAGAGCATTGAAGCAACACCTGGAGGATTTGGTAGCTTCTGGGCACCTCCAAAACTATATTGATCTGGACAAAGTAGTGACCGAACAGGGAAACCCCCCACCAGAACCGAATGTCGAGCATCTGCCTCAATTGGTAATAAATGTAATTCATGGCACAACTAGTCACGAGCGCGAAGAGACACTTCAAGAGGAAATTGCAAAAGCTGTACAAATTCAACAAGTCATGTCAGTCGGACCAGCACCAAAAAAGGAACGAACAATACCTAAGACCCCCTTATGTATTGTTTCATTTACTAAGAAGGATTTGGAAGGCATTCAGCACCCACATACTGACACATTGATTATAACTGTGGGAATTGGAAAACGATTTGACGTGAAACAAGTTTTGGTAGATCAAGGTAGCGCAGCAGATATATTATATTACGACTTGCTTAGGAAGCTCGATCTCTCTGAGCAGCACCTCACCCCAACAGTAGCTCCGTTGGTCGGCTTTAATTCGCAACCTGAATGGCCACTTGGTAGGATAGTATTGCCAGTTGTGGCTGGGACAAAGACCCTTCAGATAGAATTCCTAGTTATTAACACGCCGTCTCCTTACAATGCTGTAGTCGATTGGCCTTGGATTCATCAAATGGAAGCAGTCCCCTCAACCTACCACCAGCTCATCCGCTTCCCGACAGAATATGGAGTAGAGCAGATCTCATGGGACCAAGTTGCATCAAAACATTATTTCATGGCAGCCATAAAGGCTAAACAGCTTTGCAATCGGGTCCAAACAGTTGAAGTAGCAGAACAGTTGGTTCTAGAGGATGTCGAAGGAATCCCAGCTGAGAAGATAGTAGAAGATCCGGAGAAAGTTTTAGTGAAGGAAGATGACCCGAAAATATACTTCCTTATCGGTACCTTGCTAGGTACTAATGAGAAACTTCAGCTGCTGGATTTGTTAAGGGAAAATATAAAGGTATTCGCATAGTCAGCATATGATACTCCGGGGGTTGAATCCAGAATTTGCTTGCCATAAACTCAACGTCAATCCTTCCGCTCGGCCTATTGTGCAGAAAAGCCAGAGATCTTCAGTTGAGCACACCAAAGTAGTAATAGCGGAGTTGACAAGCTCCTAGCGGTGGAGGCAATCCGAGAAATCTAGTACCCACAGTGGCTATCCAACACAATCGTAGTCAAAAAGAAAAAAGGAAAATGGAGTGTCTGTGTTGACTTTACT